GCGGCGAGCCAGGCTGCGGCGGCGGCGGCTGCGGCGGCTGCTGCATGAGGGAGAGCTGCGACGCCGTCGGAGAGGCGTACTGGAAAGTTCGTCCTGCCAGCGGGCTCTGTACGGGCGGGCTGCAGACGGCCGTGGTGTAGGAGCACGGCGAGAGGATGACGGATTGCTGGGGGGTCTGCGTGCTCGGCGAGGGCGAGTGCAGGTTCCCGTGGGAGAGGCTGGTGGCCGTGTAGACGGGAGGAGACTGCGTCCTGAGGCGCGACGACGACGACACCGCGGAGGTGCTGGCGTTCAGCGTGGGCAGCTGCTGCAGGCTAACAGGGGCGATGGTCTGCACCATTTCTCTGTCGTGCTTCACAATCTGCTTCAAGATCTCGTTCTCCTGGTTGTTGAAGACGCCCGTGTTGAGATCTTTCTGGAACTTCTGCAGGAGGATCGAATTCTTCTTGCCTTTATAAAGAAACAGAGCGGTTAGAGAGCCCCAAGCGCAGATTCTCAATCCGATTTAGCATCCCAGCTCCTACTAGAGGGATATCTCAGGAGCCTAAAAGCCGGAAAAACACCAAGTCAAGCACTTGGCACACAGCATACCCCAGCTTGGCACTGAGCTTGCAGCACCAATCGTCCCAAGCGCACGTTCCTTGACGCAGAACGAGTGGAGCCGATCCGAGGGGCCGCACGTGCAGCTCCCACCTGCCGGCCCTCCTGCCCGGCTCCCTGCTGCACTCTGCACCAGAGCTGCCTGCGCCAGTAACACCCTGTTCTTCACAGATACCTGAACTCTCGGGGCCTCTTCACTTATACTGCACTGCTATTACTACAATTATTTAGAAAATGTAACCATGGCAATTTACTGAACAACAGGATGAAAAAAGCTACCAGGCTCTGCATGTGTAACATCTTTCTTTCTCGTTACAAAACTGTCCTAATTCTCTGCACACTAAGCTGTTACATAAGTTATAAATACATCTGCCATTTAGCACATTCCCTGGAACTAATTATTAGACATTAGTAACCAGAGACCAGTGCAAGAAATCATCTTTTTAAAGTGCTGGAGAAATAATATGAATTCACTGTTAATGTGATATCTGCCTGCACAATATAGATTTGCTATAAACTATATCCTGATGTTTTCTCAAAGGATGGTGTTTGCTTGATGACTCTCAGTATCTGCAAGATGCCAACACTCTTCTGTGTCATCAGACACACAGGAATACAATTCCACATTTTTTTTAGAAAAGACAGTTTATATCTTTTTTTTGTCCTTATGTAGCATTTTTATTGTAACCACAGCAGTTCATATTGGATTACTGCTGGACTTGACTACTACTATATTTGATGTATTTCCAGAGAAATACATGACAAATACATGACAGACAAATTTTAAGAGTTTGAATAGTCTTAATTAGAAAACTTAGTGCATTGAATGTACCCAATCTCCAAAATACCTATGCAGAAATCTATTAAATATGAGAAATCTACATATATATTTGATTTATATGTTTTCTACTAAAGCTATTTTTTCTGCTTAGCAGAGACAGCACGTAGCCATATCATGCAATTCTTTACGTATTCACTTTGAAGAAACTGCAAACATGTTTGTATTGAGAGTGATGTGAGAAAATCCTTAAGTTAGCACAGCATACTCCATGAACAGCATAGACAAATTCGGATTTTATTCTCAATGATTTTATTCTTTTGGCTGCAACACTAACATACCTAAACCTGTGTGTATGCATGTATGTGAGGAGGTGCTGCTTGGGCTAATGCCCAAGTGCTGCATTGGTATGGTGGGGAACTCCAAACAAAATCTCATATTGCAATTTGCTTGTGAAGTTGAGGAATTAGCATCATACAGGAGGATTTTTTTTTCTAAATAGGTGCATTTTAAAACAAGTATCAGTAAGTATAATCAGTTTATGCTTCTGCCTAGCAAAGTTCATGTATTTTATCTAGTATGTCCTGTCAGAGGTATCCAGAACACCTGGTTGCACAAAAGTAGACTTTGATAATCCACTATGTCATTCTGTGGCTCACTTGGATATCTTTAGCCTGCTTTTCTGACTGCAAGCAGATCTGAGTAGCTCCAGTGTGCTGTCATCAATACTAACAGCACCATGTTGTGAGGAAAACGAGAGCCCTGCTGCAAAGGATTAATTCACTTCAACAAACATGGATTTTATGTGTGCTGAGAAACATCACCTCTTCCCAGTATTACAGACACCATCTGTAAACTATTTAGGCAGGAAAATGTCATCTACTTCTCACTAAACTGCATAAACCCTATGAAGTAGCAAAAGACATTTGCAGTACTAACATATAATATTAATTATTATCTGAAGACTGAGGTCTAAACCTCTGAGATCCATGGAGTATAAAATACTAAACATCTGAGGAGTAGGAGAGCTTTCTAAAATTCAAAGTTGTATATCCTTTAAAAGTGATATTGCAGAATTTCTTCTTTGCACAGCTATGCACTTCTTTGCACATTCATAGAACAACAGAACTTTTACTTTATTGTAACAGAAATGAATTTTTTAGGAAGGGTTTAAGGCATTTTATCTTTCAGCTTAAGGACAAGAAAAAAAAAGGGTTCTAAGAAATCCAGTTACAGAAAAAAATAATACCTATCCGGTCCAGCCTATCGATCGCCACTGTCTCAAAGGCCCTTCTCATCATGGGGTACTCTTCCAGAACCTCATTGAAGTTGTCCACGGAAAGGGAGTACAGGCGGCAGTATGTGTCAGCTCGGACGCTGGCAGTTCGACGGCCCTTGGTCAAAAGGCAAATCTCTGGGGAGGCAAAAATACAGCACACACAGGAAACAAAGAAGTTAGTCAATCGTGTGAAACTTAACAGCTAGGAAGTGACTCAGTGCTAACAAATAATAATTCAGCACTCAGCGGCACTTTTTCTATTGTTGTTTAGGCAACACTGCAGGGACAATTCTGAAGGTGCTTGATTCTGTTTTTGCTTTTCTGGAAAAATAACCAGTATATTTTGAGACCTGCTTACAGTTTTTGTCAGTCTAGAGTCTGATTTTATTAAGCTCTCAAAATTTTATTTTTCTTTATGTTGTAAGAAATAATCTATCAGCTGTCAAACATGGTTTTCTGACTCAGTTAACCCAAATGATTCTCTTGATATTTGGAAATCATCAGCTGACATAAAAGACAATTAATTTAATGGTCTACCAGTTACTAAACTAATCTAATACAATAAAAAATGAATATAAAAACCATTCTAATAAAATACATGCAGCATAGAAGTGTCTCTCTCCTTGCTTTTTATGCCCTAGGTTCTTTTGGAGAGCAAGTTGATCATTTCAAACATTTTTTCTTATTTGGCTAAACAACAAAAGGCCTTTAACCTCTGTCACAATAAGCCCCATTTGTCTGGTCTACTGACTTTCCCTGCAAGTGCTTCCAACTGGAATTCATCGTTGTGGAACACAGGCAACCAAGGCCAAACACAGAGTTCCCCCACACCTGTCCCAGTCTTGCAACTGATGATTCCTGAACCCACACAAAGAGATTTACTGGGCAAAGTCCAAAATCAGCATCACATTCTTGTAAAAAAAATTGGGTGGAATGAGAGATGCATGAATTAAGTTTTCCAGTTGAAGCATTCAACATCCAAACATATTATGTAATTATTGGTCCACTCTTGTCTATAAAGTTGACCAAATTGCTGATATGCAACCTTTAAAGTGCACAATTCTTTTCCTTACCTTCATCCTTCTTTTCAATGAAAATTTACCTTAGTTAAGTGAGGTTTATTGTTGCCTGAAATAACAATGTTCAACACAGTCTTATGTAGGGTAAAGTCAGAAATATATTTTATCAGATATTTCAGTTAGCTAAAAGTAAGATTGATTGCAAGAGACTTACTTCACAATTTAAAAGTATTTTTTTAAATGATTTTTAAAAAATGTCTATCCATTCATACCCACTAAGAAGTAAAATAAAATGTTTTCTTTCAGATCACAATAGGTATTTTATTTAAACATTTAAGCTGTCTCATATTAAATTACAAAAAGAAAGATTAAGATGCAATTATAAATGAATTAGAAATGTTTGTTTAAATCCCATTTTCAAGCTTGGTATGAGAAAACACTGAGATACAAGAATTCAGGCAGGGTGGAAATAGTTTCCCTACCCAGAGTTATGTTCAGTGAGTTCATGTCTGGTCACAGCTATTTAAGTACTAGGAGTAGGCTAGGAAACTGTCTCCTATCCTGCTTGTATTATCTATCAGAAACTGTAATTCTCCAGCAAGTATGGATATATTTTTAATTAGCAAAATAATGAATTCTGGAGGTTTATTTCAAATACAAAGTGTTAGTATAGTTCTTTGCTTTTTTTGTATGTTCTTAGAAAATACTTTTTATTGATCTAGAACCTAAAGAACCCTGATGATTTTTAGTGTCTCTATTTTTGTTGACAGATTTCATCTAGAAAATATCTTTGTCAAAGCTCTGCAGATTTTGCATACCAAAGCTGCAGTTCTAAAATCCTCTGCAATCTAAAGAAATATTTTAATTAGCTTCTACAAGCTTTGAAGAAAGCTATGTGGAACATATATGCATTCTGTGTACAATCTAACATGCATTCATCTCCCCATGACATATAGGTTCTTCCAGCTGAAATGAGCAAAGAGTAAATTTCACTCCCTCTACCTTGCATACTTGTGTATAGGCTTGATAATTTTCTACCCACAAGCTATCCTGAAGGCTTGGAGGCAAGATGCTTAAGTAAGAGTGGATAAACCAAAGTACATCAATGGGGAACTGGAACTAATACACAATATACTTAGAAACTCATACAGCTTTGGGAAGAAATTATAATGACTACAGGCTACTGCACCCCACAAAACCCAATTCCAATGAAACAGCTACAGACAGTTTATTGTAAAGACCCAGCCAGGTCAAAAAGATTTTGGTACATTCTTCCTCCATTCCCTAAATCTGACTGATCCCTGTTCCTTCAACTGAAAGCACTGCATTCTAGTTACAGAAAAGACCATTTTGCCCAAAGAAAGCAGTTAAATACAGCAAATGTCTGCTCCACTTCCTAAGACATTCTTTATATCTCATACACAATAAAGTTTTACAATTCATGGTTGAATTCATGAATAACTAGCTGGAAAATCTGTGTGACTAAGAATGACCTCCTGATTTTCATCTTTACTCATCTAATATAGCTGCAGACAATACTAAAGACATATGGATGTGTCTTTTGCTGTATTCAGCAAATAAAAGAAATGAGTCTTTTAAAAAGCAGTGCATGTGAAAAAACAATGCAGAAAATACTGGTTTCATGACTATTGTTCTGTTCTGTTTCTGATTGTACTTTAGATGACTTCAGGAACAACAAGACTGGAAGGAAACCATTCTGGATTTGAACACGGGAATGTGGAATTTGTGGATACCACTGCAGCAGATATCATTATTTTTCCCATTTCTCCTCTTCTCTTTTTTAAGTAATGATACTTGAAATAATCACTGTTCTGAGAATCCTATTCTTCTGGTTAAAGAATATCTTTTAGGAATGATTTTAAAGTCCATGCAGTCAACATGAGATGAAAACACATGAAATGTGTTTCTGACAATGTTTCTTGATGGATTTGAGTTTTATTATAGTCATCAATACATCATCTATATTGCTTTGATATACATACCAATTATATCATTTGTACTCTATGCTTGTTTTGCATGTTTTAGAGTTAACATGCTTGTTACTTATGTTCTGCATTTTATTTCATGTCATCTTATTTAGCTGTGTGCTTAGTAGAAATTCTTAAGCATAAGAAAACAGATGATCTATAAAATCTCATTTACTTGGAGAGGAAAGCAAGAACACGGAACGCTGAAGTATTTGTTCCAATCAAACATCTGTGTTCTTTTAAATAAATCAAAATATTTTTTAAGAAATAAATAAACAATAGACTTTCTGAACAGAAATGAGTAACGAAAGTATCTAAGATGTTTTTAAAATAAGCCTTAGTGGCGTCAAGAACAGCAGGTGGCCTCAACAATTACACTCTCCTTGATGTTAAATTGATTTGAATGGACTAGGAAATACAAACAATGGCACAGGAGTGGGCAGTGAAACACAAAGGCCATGAACTATTTTTGCACAGCTTGGACAGGCTGCACATTTTATTAGCATAAAGTGGCTGCAGCATATTACTCACGAATATTCCCATCCATGGTTGGCACTGCCTTCATGCTGACTCTTTAAAAGTGTCAAACACTTTTATCTTTCCAAATCTAAGAATGTCTTCAATTCCAGTTAGTAATTATGTATGAGACTGTAATGAACCTGTAATTCAACTCCTATGCATGCTTTATTTCAATTACATAATCTTTTTGGACAACTGTTCCCTGGAACATTCTAAAACAAATGTCAATCTCCGTCTAATCAGAAACGTCTATCTGAAAGCACTAAACAATGCTAAAAGCATTAATTTGTTGCTACAGTTCACATTTTATACAAATACAATTAATTTATAAGTGAAAATCATAATTTGTGTTCTTCTGGCCTCAGATCATTTCTGCAGAACAATGTAGCTCTCAAAAGAATATAGAAAATAGCTCAATATCCAAGTATGTTCTGCTGTAAAGACACCCAAGTAACAAGTCCAATGGTGAAAGTTTGAAGCTAAACCTGTTTGGAAGATTATTAGCCTAATAATCAAAACTGATCAACAACATATGAGTTACACATACATATATCCATATGACAGTATTTTTTGCAGGAACATTAGGTTCGGGTTTTGGAACTGCATGGATTTCCAAATAAGTCTGTTCATATCTTTTACTGTGTAAAATGGGACTCCCATTGATTGCATTTCATTACTTAGTGTGACAGAATACTCTGGATAGGAAGCTCTACATGCCTGAAGGACAGATCTGAGAAGACTGATTTGGGAGAACGTGCATGAGGATGAATGACACAACCTGAATGATGACTTTCGAAGAATTAGCATTAGCTGACCCTTTGTAAAGGCCAGAGTTTTGGTACCAAATGAGATGAATTTCACAGTTCTTTAATACATCATTATGCCACTGTAGGTGCTAATTTTTCCTCTGTTGCTGTGTGACCCCTGAACATATTTTTCTTAGAGAAAACAACTGGGGATGTGAGAGGTCTATGAAAAAAACTTTTTTTCTCTAGGAACCAGCACAGCTAGCTGACAGTTTGGTATCTATCCATTAACTCTCAGTTCATTTCTCATATAAATTACACTCCAAATGTAATTATTCAAATTTTATGTAATATCCATGCTTGATTAGAGATTTAAAATAAATTCAATAAGAAAAAAAGAGAAATAACAATATGCAATTGCCTTGCAGACAATGTGTGTCCACCCAGAGATAAATTGTGAGGATACAGGAGAGAATTAAAGATAAGTAGTTAGCTGGCTCATTGAAGGGATACCAGTTTAGGATGCTATATAGTAATATGTAGGATATTAAATAATACAGCAAATTAATATTGTACGCACAGTTTTGTTCTGCAAGGACACAAAGACTAGAATTAAAGCAAAAGTTACTGTACTTTGCTAGATGCAGCAATTAATTGTTGTAGAAACAAATAAATTGGCTAGTATGCTATAGCACTCTTGGTACTAAATTAAAATAAATATAATTTACAGTTTCAATGCAGTTGTGAACCTCAGAAGTCTCTTAAGAGTTTTGTGCCTTTCCAAAGCTATAGCAGGTTTCTTATCATCTGTCATATTACAGATCTCATCATATTACAGGATATAATGCAGAGTGTCCTTCCAG